AAATCATAGGACAGCCTAGGAAGAAACCTCTGGAGATCATTCCTTCCAACCTTCCCTCGGAAGCAAGGCCTTAGATGAGGTTATCCAGGGTTCTGTTAAGCCAAGTCCTGAATGCATCCAGCAAGGGAGATTCCATCAGTTCTCTGGGCAAACTTCTGCAATGTTTCATTCTTCTCATAGCGAAGAATTTTATTCTTATTGATAGACAGAAATTCCCCTAAAGGAACTTGTGCCTGCTGCCTTTTGTCCGGTCACAATGCATCCTTGTGAATACAGTGACTACCCTTTACATATTAAAAGACAGAGTGATTAAATATATACTGCGTTCCAAGTTAAAAGGGATTACCTGAAATTTGGAAGAAATAAAATAAAAGGAGCATCAACCAGAGGAGCACATGCTTTTCTTACTCTCCTGCCCTTACAGTATATCCATACCTGAAAATCAAGACATGCAGAGCTGAGCTCATAGCTGACTCAGCAGGTTTCAGAACCCTGTCACAAGACTTGTATCAACTAAGTGTGCAAGAACACTGCAATTAAAAGTTATTTATTTCATTTGAGTGCATAAATTTGTATGCATACATTATTTTTTTTTCTCTTTTTTTTCTAATACTACCTACTTAAGAGAAACCTGACACTATTAGCACCACCTTCTTCATAAATCCGAACGATATATATTTCCTTTCATCTCATGCAGAAACAAAGTCTGGTAGTGCTTTTTTTCTACTGACACTTTACATAACATTCAATCCAAATGAAAAGTGTAATTTTTTCCCACAGACTGCTACTGCCCTCTGTAGGATTTTTTTAAATAAAACATTAGGAACAGAGTAGAAGAAAAAAATAAAAAGAAATCATGTAAGCCTGTCACATTACTGTATCACTTCATAAACATACTCGAGATGGCGTATTAAGTTGATGTTTCCTATAGCTTCATAAGTTCAAGAATTTTATAGACTGTGGATCCAAATGAGGAAGTAATAAGCAGAATATTATCATACAACATTACCAGACTTTTAAGACTGCAAAATGAAAATGGAGTGCCTGAAGATCAGGTTAGACAGTGGATATATGAGGGTGTTCAGAGCTAGTGAAAAATACCCACCATTTTTCAGAACTGCAAACTGTTTTCACAGCCTGTCTCAAAAGACTCTCCAACTGTGTCTAGCTAAGCAAAACATTGCAATACATTAATGAGAAAATCTATTGTATCTAAGTCCTTACTGAAGTTGCATGCTTCGGTATTTAAGTTTCATTCTTGATAGTACCTAGGACACAGTTCTGCTGCTTATTCTCACGGAAAAAAAATAGATATCTTTATTCTAAATTGCACAGGCAAATAAAATTCTGTCTATTTTTTACTCGATGATCTTATTAAAGAATTAGAAGGACATGGTCATGTGAAGCCTCAAGATAACTAATAACTAATAATTTACGTACAGGCACAGAAATGCAAAGCTCATTTGCCTCTTTACATTCCTTAGAAATGTTTTTGATACTATAGATGAGTTCAGTAGTGACCTTGGGAAGTGGCTGGTGCTTCTCATGCCATAGTACACTTGTGGTGTTTAAGGATATTAAAGAATAAGAAAGTAAACCAAAGGTGAACTTACTTATGCATGGACTAAATAACTCTGACAATTCAGAAGTGAATTAAAAGACTCCAATTGTATGAAGGGATTATGATGGCATAGAAAATCACAAGCCTGGGTGGCTCATTATTTCCCCGCAATCCAAAAATGCAATTAGACTTTAATTGCATTTTCTTAAGAGGAAAAAGCTGGTAAGAGCAATTACACGCATTAAAATACTGTGCCTAGAATGTTACTGCAATTATAAATGTCTAATCACTATTAGAATAAATTAAAAAAATGTACCACTGGGTGTTACCATTTTATGATGTGAGGAATAAGGGCAATGAAAATCCTTTAGGTTTGAAAGGAATTTTGCATATATACTGTGGGGCTAACTCCAAAAAGCAAGTTAAACCTATCATGCCCTAACCTCAAAGAAGGTGTCCATTGGACTGAACTAGGTGTCTAAGTCATGCCTACTAGAGAAGACAGATCTCTTCTCCACATCTGGAAACTGGTTTCAGGCAGTGTGTAAAGACTGAGAAAGCAAAATAAAATACTGAATACACAATGTAAACTGTTAGGAAGTGAGAATTGCATCTCCTTACTTGTGCTCCTTTGCTAAGAGTACATATACATCTCACAACAAACTTGCATGCACCCAAAAATCTCTTATTTTTATGCAACAGTTTTTGATGTTACATAAATCTTTTCCCCAATATTTCTAGAAAACCAGTGGTCTCATCATTAATTCATTAATGGAATATTTCAAAAAATTGAGGTTATTTATTTTCCAGTAGCTAGCTATTCCTCCATGCTCCATTTACTGTCCTTTCCATTTCTGATGCATTGTTTCAATTAATGCACTTTCATTGCCACAAGACACAGACAACTGACTAACAAGACAACTCACATTTAGAAGGAAAGGCCATAAATTAATAAAAGCTGAAAATTACAACTTGCTTTGTAAGAAATGATTCAAACATAATACACTGAAGGCTACTTTCTATCGCAAAGTGACCAGTCATGCCAAATCAGTCTGCCAAAACAGGCAGATTCCTCTTTCTCCCATTTCCTTCTCCAAAAACATGCAAAAGAGCTAGTAATGGGTAAAGAGAAGACGACTAACCAAAGACCGGCACACAGCATGGTCATGTAGGTCTTACTTCCTTAGGGAAAATATAGGATATGGGTCAGGAAATTTGAATTGTCTCTGTACTTTGACAATTAACTTTGTCTGGCAATGCTACAATTAACTTAAAATAAGCCAAAAATTAGTCAGACCAACTACTTTTGTTTCTCATGGATGCATACCAACTTTGTGCCATGATTATATTTTTAAGTAAAGTTCAAATTCAACTTACATAATCCCACTTTTTTTTTTTTTTTTAAACCATAATTTATGACTGGAAATCTTGACCAGAGCAAAATTCTCAGTACTCAATGCAACTTATGTAGGCTGTTAACCTAAAAAACAACCTTGTTTCTTTCAGTCATTTGTAATTTTCATAGGAAGCAGATGATCTCACATGCTTCTTCAGCAATCAGCTTATCTTTCTGAAGAGATGGATTATAATGAAGAATGAGGGTTCACAGAACTGTCTGCCTAGAAGCAGTTTATATTTAAGTTACTCAGTTGACAAATTATTGTTATTTCTCTGTATATGTGAGGACTTCTATCTTTCTTCTTCTAGTTTGTTGGGGTTTTTTTTTAAGACTGAAACCAGTACTTTACTCTCCTTACTTAGTAATCTTGGTAAACTGAGAAAAAGCCAAGGTAGTTCAAGGTCTCTTCTCTTCAATGCAACCTAACAATGCACCACCCATAGGCAGGTAGGGATCCTCCAGCCAACCAACACATGCTTCAGGATGAGACACATCCCACACTGCGCCTCCCCAGTCCAGCAGTTACAGGAGATGAGCAGAAGAGGAGAGCATTGACAAGGAGGAGACACAGGGAGAGTGGGGAAACCTTACACAGCAAAACAAGGTTTCAGTAGTTTTACTGCTCATGCCATAACTTGTCAGCTTGATCTTTTAACTGAAAGCCAGATCTAATTCAGATTTAGTGATGACTATTACATACTGATGCTATGGTTAAATCATTACTGTTTACATAGTGTCCCATCTAAAATACTAAACATGGATTTACCAAGGTAGAAGGTTGCTAATTTATTAGTATATTATGCTAATTAATTATAATTATAATAATTATATTAGTCAGCTGTGAATTTAATTTTGTTCTTATATAAGGTCTGATCAGGGTAATTCAGAATGTCCCTGGAGGGTGCTGAGGACTCTCCATTGCCACCATCACAAGATGAGGGTTCAGGCTGTAATGACTACATGGGGTAATATTCTAAAATCTAATGACATGCAGTCACAGGACAACAGTATCTAGAGGAGGAAAAACACAATTTCCTGAAAAGAAACAAGCATGAGAACCACAGGCAAGTTGAACCAGACCAACATTTTTCCCTCAAGCAAAATCCTCATTACTGCTAATACAAGTTATGCACAGACAAGGGGACTTGAGCCTAAAGGGATCGGCTGCCAAGCCACCACAAGAAGATTGCATTGAAATCCAATGCTGATCTATCTTTGTAAGTGTAATGACTTTGTTAAGGATACAGAATTAGCTGCCAGCCTATGCCAACAACTTGACTGTATCAGTCTGGAGTGATCTGCTCAGTTCTCATGAGCCACACCCCCCAAAACTCCATGGTAAATGCTGCATTATAGAGCTCAGAGCGACAAACTCAAGCTAATGAATGCTGTCAGATTACTAGATTAGTGAACGGACACAAAGTCAGCAAATGTCAGTCAAAAAAGCACCACTTCAGACAGAACACAGTACTTAGTTTTTCTGATGCACTGCCATCGACACAGTTTCACTGCAACTTTTATCAAACCAAAACATGTTCCTGCCTTCAAACCCTATGCTGTGCGATCCAGGAAATTAGATTTAAATCATATGCTTTTGTAACTTAAAGGATCTTCTACAATAGCGGAGGGAAGGAAAGCAAATGGTACTATTTATCATATAAAAACATTGAAGAAATCTTCAGAGGTCTTTTTCAATTCCTGTCAAAATACTCATCAAAATGTCTTATTTATTGATTAATTCACTCCCACTTATCTGTGCTTGAAGCAAAATGAAAAAACATGTTTCAGCAGTACCAGTTTTTCTCAAAGATATTTTTTACATGTACCTTTAGGACAGCAAGTCACAACTTCAGCTATATTAAAGGAGGACTACACCTTTTTAAAGAAAAGCCAGCTGGTTTTTGGATTGTAAATGTCGTGTTTACGCCATAGAGCTTTGAGACAGTCTTACAACTTCTGGAGCTTAATGTAAAGTTCAGTTTTCCCCGAACGAAGCCACTATTATGAAAAATCTAGGATGACAAAATCTCAAGTGCTTACCTTTGTCATTGCTACTTGTTGGTGTTGGAGGGGGAAGTCCAGGCTTAGATTTGTCATAATTGTTAAAGCTCTGGCTGCGACGATTGTTGGCACTGATAGAACCACGAGCCTTGGCCTCACTGCCTGCAGTGGACACTCTTGTCGTGGGGCCTGGAAGTCTGATGAAAGAATTACAATAGGATTAAATATATTTAAAAAATACTCTTGGAAAGAAACTATGGAATATCATGCATAAGCTGCAAAGAAAAGCATGAATACCACAAGTATATACCCGTAAGTATCTTTGTTCTTTTATAAGAACAAATCATAAAATCATCCTAGGTTAAAAATATATGTTAAACAAGCTACAGTCTGAATTGTTCTACATCAGGAAAAAACCTCCCTGAACCGAAATTAATGGTCATTTGCCACAAATCCTGTGAATCAGAAGTATTTGCAAGTAAATTCCGTGGAGCAATACCACTGGTACAAGTTTAAGACTAAGTGAGACACTGCTGTTCTTAAACTAGATGGCTGGACACTTTATTATATGATGGACATGTAAGGGCTACCCTTATTTTGGAAGTAACAATGAGACAGAGCATGGCTGCCTTTTCCCTTGCAGAGAAGTATATCCCATCTCTGCTCTGAAAGCTACAAAGCCTAGCAGCCAAACCCAGTGAAACTTAAACTTGGTTTAATTATTTGAGCCTATAAAAATCACACAAAGTTTAAGTGGCCCCTCTTAGGACAACCATATTATCAGTGAGCTGGTATAAGCCTCTGGTTTGAACTGGATCAGTCTCTTCCGGCATTCCCTTATCATGGCCTGTATTTACAAGATTTAGCTGCTTACCTAGAAAAAAACATAGTTAGGATTTTGTACTTTCATGCTTTTCAGGCAAAAGGGGAGGGGGAAGACTTTTCTAAGAAGCCCAACAGAATTAGGAAAGCCACTGGCATCGTATCTTAGAACAGTATATGTGCTTGAGTCCTTCAGAGTCAAAGTTCATACATAGAGTTTCCATAATTATACTGTATTCTGTGAACTAATGAGCACATATTTCTACATTACAAATAGATGAAATACTAAAAATTAAAAGATTTGGTAGTTGCTCAAAATGCACACTGAGAGTTACTGGAACACTCACTGTTTTGAAAAGCAAGGATATCACCTTAAAGACTTAAAGATAGAACCAGTTCATGTCACCTACAGCAGGACTGGAAGGCATCACTTTTTGCTGTCTTTGTACCTTCTGTATGGTATAATCTCTTTAAAACCTCTTTATGTAAAACACAGAAGTCTAAACATCTTAAATAACTTGTGTCAATAATAGGCTAAAATAAAGAAGTCCCAGTTGTCAGAGAGAATGGGTATGCAACCAACCAAATCATCATTGTGCCTCTGGGAAGGAGGAGAAGCCAGGAAGGAGTCCGGCAGGGCTTCCTATATAAACTGGCTTCTCCAAGACTAGTGAAGAAATAGGAAATATGAAAGGAAACATGAAGGGAAAGAGCAAAAATGTCAGCAGCTGCATGCACATGCTTTCAAAGCTCAAAGGAGGGTAAGACATAAGGGCATCATTCAAATACAAAACCCCAAATCAATTAACAAACTCAAACCACCACAGATCTGCCACAGCACATCATGGTTCTGAGGTTGACTTTGCTGAAGCCTTTTAGACGAGCCCCTCAATTTATGCAGACTTCTTCAACAAGCTGTACATACTCATCATGTTAGAAAGTTGTACATATTCATCATTGCAGCGAGGTGTAAATGAGAACACCCCAGAGATGCTTCATCCACTGTAGAGGAGACTACATGGGAAGAAGCAGGGGCAAACCAGGGACAAATGCTGTTCTTGAGAATGTGGTAGTCACAAAGACAAGAGAGTTCATGAAGAGTTTGTTTTGCTCAATAGGAAATGAGCTAGGTTTCCAACAGGTAAGAAGGACACACAAGAGACCTCAGCTGGAAGTTTCTACCCAATGATAAAGCATTGTGAGTACAGGCCAACCACTGCAGGAAGGCTACTGGAGCCCCCAGTACTGGGAGGGTAGCTTTCTATCAGGGCTTGGCAGGAGGGAAGGGATAACATTCTGGTACCGATGGGTAGGAAAAACTCCCCACACATACCCACACAGGTTCTACAAATCTGCCACATTTTAAAGTAAATAAAGCTACTCAAACCACGTGACCACTCAAGAAGTGACAAGTTTTCGATTCAAGTTGGTATCGTCACTGCCAATAAAAACATACTGAGAATAAAAAACATACATGCTAAAAACACTCTTGAAGAAGATATGACTTCTCTTAGACTTTTTTCCCCCCTGTAGTTTAACTGACTGATCTTAAGCTCCTGCTTTTGCTATTAGGCCAAGATATTTCATAGCAGTGCCTGTGAATTCTAGGGGAAATAACAACAGATTTGGGGAGATATTTCTAGCTTCTTGCTATGAGAGAAAAGGTACTGAGCTCAGAGAATGCTCTCCATTACTGCACTTCAGCACCCCTTCTAGGCAAATATGAACTGTCAAGTTGTAATTATGATCAAAGGAGAACATGAAAAGGAAACATGGGACATTTTAACAGGGGTTATACTGTAGACCTTCACTGTTGTCATAAAATAAATAAGATGAGGGAAATAAATCCAAATTATGTAGCAAAACTAGTAATCTATCTAAACTTGCCAAGCCGAATACAAATCGTAAGTACTAGTTCCCAAGCTTAGCAAAAATGGTATGGTATAGTTTATCAATGCATAACTATATAAAAATTCATAGTAAAACATTTTAATATATAACAGTAGTAAAAGTAAACATGATTAATAACCAATTAATAACACAGAAACCCTTATGTTCACTGACATGGGATGGTCACATGAGCTGGCATGCAAGTCATGCTGGGATTCAGGAAAAAATAGACTGAAATACCTATTAATCAGTTTTAGGGAGATTAGATGTGCTCAGCCTCAGAGCACTGGGGAGCGCAGCTCTGATGAGACACCCCCACACAGTGCCATTTGGCCTCGCACAGTTCACATGATGCTCCACTTACTGCTAGGACAATAGCCTGATACTAGTTGTTTCAATAATGCAGATCTAAATACAACTAATATAGATGTGTACAGTGAGGAGAGAACTCCCAGAACCATGTTTTGTTCTAAAAAGCAAAAGCTCATAAGGACAAGAAAATTAATATTAAATATAAAATAAAATTATTTTCTTGTAGGCCAGAATGCATTCCACACCTTGGAAACAAAAAAGAAAAAAAAATTAAAATCCATGTAACACTTCCAGGTTTCAGCTGTTTGTAAAATGCCTAGTTACAAAGTATTTTCAACAGGAACCCTAAACATGCATCCAGAAATATTGCAAAAGGATTATCCATGCTTTGCAGAAGATGAAGAAATGCTAACCTAGAAGACTTTTTCTGACCAAGAGTGAATCGGATGATTTTGCTTTGAGATGAGTCCCTGGGAGATGCACTGTACAACAGGAAAGAAAAAGTGGAAGAGAACATTGAACAAAGAAACTTTTTTTTTTTTTTTAACCACTGAAGTTAGTAACTAATTTTAGGGAGGAAAATGAATGTTTTTATGAATTTCACAGGAAAAAAAAGCTTCTTGCCTAAATTAACTTTATGCCAAAACTCCTAAAATCTGAAATTAATTAATTTTTATAGAGTAATGAACATGCAATTCTGCATCCAAACCCCATTCTTTTCTCTCGGCCTTCTATTATATGCATTTTTATGCACAATCTGAGTAATTTCACTTCAGTATAGACTAAGAAAACATGGCATTTAAGGCCTTCAGGTTGGATATTTTTAAACTCTCTGAAATCCAGCACAATGGATTTAAAATATCAAAGCAAAAATCAAGTGGTCCCATGCATCTCTGCATGTTTTTGACAGAAAAGTCACAGAAAAATATTCAAATATATCTTTGTTTTACAATAATTATTTCCTGTACAAGTTTGTACATGCTGTAGCAACACTGTTTTTCAATTATATGAAAACATTGTTTTCACCCAAAATAATCATGATTCATGAAGACATAAGCAAAAACCAAATAAGCTCTCAGTAGCTTCACTTGGAAGGCCTCCTTTAAACTGTTTGTATACCTCATAAGGCAGCACTTAAGCTAGTGCTCACCTTAATATGCGTTATTTTAATACAAATAAGCCTTAACATAATTTGAGGTATTTATTTTTAAAAAAATAGCCTTCATACTTCAGTAACTGTGCAGATATGGCTTCAGCCTTTACTCCTGCGCACTTATCCCTGCTAAATCCGTCACTCTTAGCAGTGGAAGGGCCAGACAAGCAGAAGGCTGTACATGCACGCATGGTGGTACTGCCTTCATAAATTGCTTTTATTCTAATCTGGAAAGAGCACTCTAGGATTGAAGTCATTCAGGGGACAAAGACACCCTCTATTTATCCATATTCTGATCTAGGAGTGCCAATAAACAGCAATTGTGGAAATTATTTTTCATGTAAGCCAGTAGCATATTATTTTTGACCAATAAGCCTAGATTTGATGTTGACTGTGACCAGCTCTGACAAGCTCTATTTCTTTTGTCACTGTCAGAGCCTTCCACTTCTTAGTGAGGACTGAAATTCTTGCAAGCTGAGAACCAAAGTTGGTTTTCATATGCCCAAAGTATATATTCTGTAATGGCAACAATACATGTGCTTTGTGAGTAGAAAGAAGCAAAAGGAATACTGAGAAAAACATCCTTATAAAACATTGTGGGTACTTGGTCTAGCAGGTATTTTACACGTGCATTGGACTGTGTATTTCCAGCACTCAGAATGTATTTAAGCACATCTGTTTTGATTTCCAAAGGCCTGAAGTCAACTGCTACCCAGCATTCAATTTCTGACACACTCTTTATTCTAGAGTAGAACTAACGAAAGAAGTTTCTTTGGCTTTTGAAGACCTTTAACAAGACGAAAAAAAGAAATAAACAACGAAAGGAAGAAACAACTTAAAGGAAATTTCCCCACCTGGACTGCATTTCTGGTTGTGCTTTGAACTGCTGCTGCGCAGCTTGAGGGGGCAGTTGGCACGGAGGCTGGGGCGAGGCCGGTACCTGGTGCTGCAGTACCCCGGCCTGGCACTGGGATGGAGGCCCTCCTTGCTGGGGTACTGAGGGAGGCTGCTGGGACGGATGGTGGTGTGGTTGCTGTTTCTGTGGCTGCTGTTGCTGTTGCTTGTATCGAGATAAACTGAAGAAAAGGCCCAAGATGGCCTTCAGATTCCCATTCCTGATTTCTGTAAGGCAACGTTCAGAAGTCAGTCAGCAGTCAGCAGTCTTTTTTTCTCCCGGCCAGTACAGCAGGTCAGCCAGTGGGCTCTCCACAACGCCGCCTGAACTCAGATCCTTTAGGATACGACAGGCTTTCTGCACATCTAATCGGCATTACAGCTGATTACCAGTGAGCACCAACTACAAACAAATAACTAATTTCTCCCCTGCAGTGACTGCATGATGTCTCACGTTTCTGCTGTAGTCTGCATTAATGCCAGTGTGCTTAAAAAGATAGTCCTTTATATAGTTCCTTTGAAGTAACTAAAAAAACCCCAGAGCCCCACAATAAGTTTATTAACAACAGCAGACTAAATGATTTCTATCACACAGTATTATATAATCTCTGGAATATCAGACTAATTGTTTTCACTAAGAAAATCTGATTCAAGTTTTGTACTAGAAAATACGATTATTGGGTGAAATAGCTGTATTAAAACAGATAATTACCAGTGTGATACTATCACAAGCCAATAAAGAATGGATGCTCAAAGTACCTGAGGATAGGTTGAGTGTGAATGAATAAACATTTCAATTCCTACAAGTCACCCTGTTCTTCTGTGTAGTAACTAAATGTGAAAATGTAAAACCAAACAGCAGTACAAAGATGAAGACATGTATCAGAACATGCAGTTAACTGCTGTATCATAATATGCAAGAGCACCAATTCCATCTTGCAGACCGTCTTAATAATGTGCATGACTTATTTAGCATGTTTAATTTCCTAAATTGAAAAAGCTATATCAAACAGCTAAGCTTTTGCATGCACTATACAGACCACTTGAACTAATAAAACTTCCTGTTGCCCTATGCTTTTAAATCCCTGTATGTGGATTATTGCAAGAGGGGAAGAAAAGGACATGCAGCAACACAGCGGCCAAGCACACAGGTGAGAATGAGAATTTTAATTTCTGTTCCCAGTTCCGGCTGAACTGTTTCTGTGACTTTGTAATGGGCCCTGCTCTATCCTTCATTTCCTCCCCCAGCCACAATTCCGCTCACACTGCTCATCTTTGCTGTGTAACAAGCTTCTGTTCTTAACCCCAAGCCCTTTACCCAGCAAATCTCAGGCTCATGGCTTAAAAATTTTGTTTCCCTTTCTTTATCAGCTTCCAGCTTTAGTCCCCTTGTTGAACCTGTGCCTCAGTCCACCCCTTCTGCCTAGCCACTAATCTAATTTACTTTCTTCCTTGATTTTGTTTTGGCCCATGCCCACCTCCTCAGAGACTCCTAGACCTTATCTAAGTGGTCCTGGTCATCACCCAGACACCCAGACCCAGGATATTGCTTTCCTTTTCTTTCCAACTTCTTGACTGAATTTCCCAACCCATTTTTTCCTCCCTGCAGTCCGGCCCCTCCACCAGTGCTTTCTCCCATCACTGCCTCCATTCCCTTGTTTAAATAATTATCAATCCCAGGGCCCTGTAACAGTCATTTTCTGTCTTCTTTTGGGTTTTTTAGCCATTTTGAGTCTCTTCCTGGACAATGGGGTCCTGATAAACCCTGCCTGTTCCCTCTTTTCCCACTCCACCCTTGCTCCCATGCAGTGTCATGCCACAAACCCAGCCTTCTCCCACAGCCAACAGCATCTGCATCAGGCCAGTTCCTTCTCCAAACTGCCCGTGTTTAGCTAGGGAGGACAGGAATAGAAGTAGACAATAAAGTAAAACAGACACAAAAGACAGCAAAACACAGTCTGAAGGATCTTCTTATCTTCAGTAAAGAACTCAAATTACTGTTGGGAATTGTAAGGAAAGTAGTACTTAATCAGAGGCCAAAGCATAACTAAACAGACCCAGAGGCACTGGGAAGCTTAACTGCACAAATACGGGCCAGAAGATAGAAGAAATTACCATGGGTCTGCACATTTAAACTGAGCAAAGATATACACAATTGGATAGAGCTTGATTTCCATGTGAAGTGACAGGCAATTATAACAATAACCCACCTAAAACGTGTTGCTTTCTACGGCTGTCCGTCTTCTGCTGCATTTATCAGAAGAGCAACCTGCTTTTGATATTTTTCTAAGGTGACCAAAAAATAGTCATCTAAAGAAAAACACCTTTCATGAGTTTCAAAAGAGGCAGTTTCTTTCCCTCTGGATTTCAAGCAAAATATTTCAAATGGCACTTTCAGAGGTAGTTCTGTTTCTCTTATCTTAAAGCTAGACTGAGGTAATTTGCCTGGCAGTTTGCCCCTGCACTTTGTACAAAAAGAGTATTTCACTGAGTACTTCAACCTTAACTGTGCTCTGCCCATCAGTGCAGTCTCAACTGCTTCCTGCTTTAAGTCGCCTCCAGTCCATGTGTCAGTTTAAATACGCATATTATCTTAGATAAGGACAAGCCCATCACCCACCCATTTTAAATCTGGAGCCAAATATGACTTGTCTTGTATATTGGAAACAAACACTCTAGACATTTGAGAGGAAACTGGAATTCAGTTTTCAGAAAACCCCCCACAAATCTATCCTTTGGAAATTTCCATCCTGGAATATCTCTGCTGCTGCTTGTTTCCCCTAGAGCTGAAGCTTCCACCACAGTAGCGAGCCGATCACCCTTCTCTGTCTTCATAAAAATACACAAGACTTGGTGGAAATTAGGAAAAAAAAAAAAAAAAAATCAGTTCAGGACAAAAAAAAAAGGAAAGAAATGAAAGGTCTGCTGGATAGATATACTAGGGAAATGTCATTACTAGACTTCTCTAACACTTGTGAATGAAATTTCTACAAATCATAAACTACTCATTGTGTACAGAATGCAGATCAAAGCAAATGAATGAAGAAGAAAAATGGTCTATCACTGCTATTAAGTCAAGCTTGTTTGCATCTGCTTCTGTAAAGCTTATTTTCTATCTGATCCTGTAAGACATGTGGGACTAAAAAAGCAGAATCAGATTGCATGGACTAGACTAGTTAGCCAACCTGGCCAGCTAGCAGAAATACAAATTAAGAATCAATGCCCATTCCTTAGCTTGCATCTATCCTGACAGAAAATAGGGCTGTCATATATACATGCTATTCAACTGTAAAGATAGTAGGTGTCTGCTCTGTTTGCACAAGCCTCTTATAGATGATCACTGAGGGATTCTGCACGCAGTCCCCATCAACCCTCCTTAGTTCCTTTAAGAGGCGAGGCAAGTTGGTTTGCTGAACAGAACAAAATAAAAAAATAAAAGTTGGAAATTTGGTTCCCAGTGAATGATGGGAGATGAGGGAAGGAACAAAACAGCTACAAGCAGGTCTGAATTTAAGACCAAGTGTTGAGAAGTAGGTATACTTCACAGCTGATCCAGGACAGATGAAGAAGTACAGACAGACTCAACCCCAGCCAGCACATGCTCTAGGCTGATGGTGCTCTAAATTAATTTCAGGGATCCGAAGTTACCAAAACATCTCTGGGATGAATTCTGTAGATTCTACTGAGGAATATGATCTGAATATGAACAATACTGGGAATTTCATAGAAATAAGGAAGCAAAATGCAAGAAGGAATTAATTCCCACCACACACACTATATCTGCAGGCATTTTTTGATAATTAAAGAGACATTTTTTGAAGACTGTACATAACTGTACTCAGTGTGGTATCATCAAAATCTGACAGCATGGCGAGTGCCCTACTCAGATATGCTTAAAATAGAACTGGAGGATATTTGTGCTGTGGAAACAAAAATTCCACCTTGACACTGGAAAGGACCTAAAGGACCTAAGATGGAGGAACTGCAGTACTGCGGAGTGTGTACACTCAAACACATTTACTCACAGAAGCACAAATGCCATTTCCGAGGGAAAAGCCTAAGCTGAATTGTGGTTGTTCCAAAGTCCAGCAAGATGTTTTCTTTCATAACTTTATGGTTTCACGATTTGTTCAGCTGATCATTATCCAGCTAAGCTGTTACCCAGAAGAGGTAAAGCTGCTATCTATGACATCAATTTGAGTTTCTACTGCACATTTATGTTTTCCATAATCTTCAAAATCTTGACAGCAAGGAGATATTGTGTGAAGGAGGGCAAGCTTGGCTGGGCAGCTGCAATTCCAGGAGTCTAAAACCCAGCTCAGTGTGGAAATAACTAGAAGACTGTGGGTATGAAGAGACACCCGAAAGCGATGGACAATAAAAAACTGCAGCAAGAAAGGAATTTTTCAGTGTCCCTTCAGTTTTCTTTAGTAACTACAGATGGAGATTTTAGGATTTAAAAAATCTTGGAGAAGGGAATGCCTTTTTGGCTCTGTGTTGCTGGGCAAGGAGGTCTGTCTAGCATGCTATGGTCATCATGAGTGATTGCAGATCCTTAGCAACTTCGCTGCATAAATCCATAAAAAACAACTATGTTTAAGTGGCACATACATATCAAAGCAGGATTTTTTGGTACTGGAAGTATATGACACATGAAGTCGCAAATTATTTAAACATTCAGAAGTCACCCAAATTCCAGTTTTGAATCATGAACTTCCCTCCACACTAAAACTGTACTACTGAAAAATACATGTTCTCAAGCAACCCGGGAGAGACTTCAATGTTTATTCCCATTTGGAAGCAATCACAGTCTTCTCCTTCCTCCTAGATGAGGATCTGCCAGTGAAGTAAACAAAGTTATTTGCAGTTGACCTAGCAGGTCTTGGCAACTTGCACAGAAACACTGGCTTGTTTGGTTACGGCACACTTCATTTTGAGTGACTCTGTCTTCTCTCTTGTTGAGCTTCCTCCTCCTTCCTCAGCACAGTTAAGGAGTGACTAAGAACAGAAATGGAGTTCATTGTTGAATTCAAGTCTTTTAATTTCATTTTACAAAAAACGTTCCTTCCCTTCCCCTCTCTAGCTGTCACTCTTTTCCTTCAATGTTACTGGTGAAGACAGTAAGTGTTCTCACTCATATGTTGGCAGCAAACATTACTGGTCTCTTCCTAGCTTCCATATGATTTAATATGTTAATTTGGAAACAGTGTACAAGAAAAGAATAAATAAAATACCAGCGAAGCCATGGGATAACCTATATCCTGCTGAGTCTGACTTGTGATTTGGCGAGAGGGCAATGAACATTAATCATGTTGTCCCCTCCCCAGCATGAACAACGCAATGCTGCCAACTTACACACCCAGACAGTTTTCTCATCAAGTAATCTGCTATTTTTCTCAGATTTTGCACTGTATCAAGACAGGTAAATAATGTGAAATTTATTATATTTTTACAATATTTACATATCACATCAAGGTTGAAATTGACTTTTACAACACAATCGGTTGCATTTTCTTTTTAACCATTTCCTGGTAAACAAACTTTCTACTGATAGAAGTTTTATCTTATACTTTCTTTTCTTGACATGAGAATCCTTCTGATTATAACAGCTATCGAGGCATATAATGCAGGCAATACTCAGGTTGACCATATTAAAGCTTCTCTTTTGAGGAAAATGCTTGTTATTTGTGTTCTAACCCAACTTAAGGATACACCACAGAAAAAGATAGTTAATCTTCAGCCTCCTCTTCTCTTACTAGTTGTGGTAACAGAAGGTTAGAACAATGTGTACTAAATATCTGCTACTTTGCTCTCCATGCTTACATACCACTTCAAGCTTACATTTCAAATACACATTTTCAAGTGGCTTGTAAGATCTCACAGACTAGGGTGAGGTAGGTGGCTTCCTTTCAAATACAGCAAGGAATTCTTTAAGCAATTTTGCAAATTGTCAAAAGGTAATTTAAAATTATAATTTTTCATAACAGTTTTCTAAAATTAAAAGCTTTAATTTTATAGTAATTTTATGGAAGTTTTTATCCTTTTGTAATATTTTAAAATGTAATATTTGTATATAAAATGACGGTTTCACCATAAAGTTAATCCACAGTGCTCACCTGGCATACATTTCATAAACATCATTTACTGTCCATAAGGGAAAGTGTATTTCAGCTAAGACTACAAATCATGATCACAAAGTGCATGATGCTGGGTTTTGGATTTGTGACAAAATCAGTGTTGCTGAGGCAGCAATGTTTTCGCTATTGCTGAGCAATACTTGTACAGCATCAAGCCTTTCTCTTTCTCCCAGGCTGCCTTCCCCCAGTGGGCAGGCTGGGGGTGGGCAAGAAGCTCGGAAGGGGACACAAGATGAAGAGCTGACCCCAGCTGACCAAAGGGATATCCCATGGCACAGGACATCATGTCCAGCAATAAACACTGAGATGGGTGGCGGGGAGGTAGCCATTGCTCAGAAACTGGCTGGGCATCCCTCTGCTTGTGAGAGGTGGTGAGCGATGGCCTTTGCATCTCTTGTTTTGTTTTTCTCTTCCTCTTTCCTTCACTCACCAAACTATCTTTATCTTGACACAAAAATCGTCTCACTTTTGCTCTTTCTGTTCTCTCCAGCGTGTAGCTGCTAACCAGGGTCAGCCCACTGTACATACACATCCTTTCTCACCTTCCTTGTTCAAGCTATAGGATTCCTCCAGAGGAAGAAAACAAAGCTTTAAACATACAGGCAATTAAGTTATTCACACACAAGTAAATATATGTGCAGGATTTGATGATATAACCCCTTCCCCAAAACTGCCTTTGCAAAGAGACTTAGTCACCAAATCTAAATTCAGTGCCACACATCCAGTTACTTGCTCTGTGAAGCACTGAAGGAGATATATGTTTGAAGTTTGCCTCAGCAGCTGCTGAACCCAGTTGCTTTTCCAGCTTATTTAAATGAAAGCCTAAGTGAAATTTGGTGCTGAGGATGACAAAAATCTGTTTGATCTCTTAGTAAGACAGCAGTTAAACAGCTTCTGAGCCAAAAGGTATCATACATCCTGACATATATCATGCACTGGCATAAAGGAATATAGCACGCTGAGTCATGTTTGGTTTTCGGAAAAATTCTGGTGCTATTCAAAAGCAGAGTAATAAATTAGAGGTCAAAATGTCTTACTTCTTGTTTTGGTTCAAAACATTTGGATTTTATCATTTTGTGCATTTGGAAACAAACTTTAAAAAAAAATCTTTCTTTAAAAAACAAAAGAAATAAGGATACTTCTTTGGGTAAGAGAATAATTGAAGAATGAGGCTCTCTCAAAAGGCAAACAACTGCCAGCAGTTTTCTTTAAATAATCTACACTCTGATCAGTGTGCCAATTATAGAACTTATATGAGAAATTTCTGTTTTCTAAGAGAAAGAAACAAAGAAGCAATTGCATTCTATTTCAGTCTCATGGATTGTTTTTACAAGTCAGCTGTGTGGAGACTAGATATGTATTTTATCTACCTTTCATACTGCAATGGGTAAAAAAGAAGTAAAAACTGTCAGAAGTTTAAATTATCCATATTAATCTTCCATTACACTCAATGTGCTGGTTATGATCACAATCAGTAATTCAGGTTGCTCATTTTAAATTAAATTTTAAACAACTGATTGACTCACCTTCTGCTGACAGCCCCTGTATGTTAATTCCCTTAGCAGCCAAGAAACTCAGGCACGCATCTATGTTTTCAATCTGTTCAAGAACAAACAAACAGAGAGACACAAAAAGAAAATGCATTGTAATAATTGTTTACTTTCATCTCCCACCACCCTTTACTGCACTCAGGCTTTGTATCACACAAAAAGTCCCTTTGCTCATTATGTGGAAACCATAATATGAAACAGTTACTAAGGTCCTCAATTGATGACATATTACACAGGTCAGGACTTTCTGTTATTTGTACTTGCATGAAGCAAGTTATTTAATACTCTAACAATGAAAAAAATATCGCTACGTATCTTACTAAAGGGTCAAGGATGTTATGCCAGGATTTTTAACCTACGTTAAGTATAACAAACATGAAACCGAAAATAAACATGGAGGCCACATTTGCTTGAGAAGGCAGATTGCCACTTGCTCTTAAGGTAACAGCTGGCAAAAGTTTCCAGCCACAAAAGCAGTCAAATATAAAAACTGTAACTGGAAACCCCAGCTGGACTCCAAAAAACGGTCACTCGTGACATCCTCCACATGTCAGAAATGACAGACAACTCTGGTTACTCACTGTGGGGCAAATCCTGCCCTCCAGAGAGATGGTACAACTGCATTAAACTACCCAGAATAAAACTAATTTTGTCCAAGTAGGGTCTTCTGCACAACAAGTCTGACTGTTACTGACTACAGCTGCTACATACAGACCAGACTCAAATCCTGCCAAACAAAGGGAAGCCCAGACAGTTTGGACAAGTTAGGCATTCCTTCCCCTGTATCTCAAAATCACAACAGAGATCTTGCAGTAGCCTCATGCCTAGTTTCCCACCAAGCTACCACCAAAGCTCTGCTGTCTTATTCAGAACATGTAGAGATGCCATCCCCCCCAGGACCACAGCACTTCTATGGACAAGCCTAAGCTTAGATACCTCAAGAAGCCGCAAGGAATATTTTAGGAAATACCATGTTTCATGTGGGATTACACAGAAGACTTGTAGACAATATCATTAAGCAATTTTTTATTTTATTATGGTAATCACTAAGTGATAATATAGGGTGTCCATGTTTGAACATCTTGCAAACATTAATTTATTCATTCCCAAAACATCGCAACCAAACATTGCTTCCACTTCATATGGATAAGGAGATAGGCAGACACCAATCCCCATACTTGCTCTCACATAACTACCTTTCTTCTGTGAAGTTTGGAGACATCAGAAAGGACATGAAAGATCCAGCTTCCCTGTCAGCTCCTGCCTGCCCTTGAAAAATACATGTGAGGGCTGTGTGGCATTCCGGAGGCTGAGCTCCCAGCACCTGACAGGCACTTCCTGTCCTTCTCCAAGTAATAAAAAACTGCTAGGGAAGCTGCCAGAAAACCTCCAGCATGGATTTCTCTCAAGGTACTTTCATTTATTGTCTATAAATATGACAATAAAAACATTCTCTTTTATCAGGGGAAAGAGTTATTGGCATTACTTAACTGTGATTTCAACAATTATAAACACTGACATACTCAAAGCTTTTACCAACCTCATTAGACTTTGAGATATACTAACTACATCAAAGTATACAGTACACTGAGTATACTATATACTTCCAAACCCATATAGATACCAAAGAATACATTTCCTGAAATGTTCAGACCTTAAAGCCTGTACCAGGGTGCAGTTCAAAGGTTCATTTATCCACAGTTTAATATGATAAAACACTCAATCTCTACCTGTTTCCTTCCTCAGTGTTCAACAACCCTTTTAAGTTTTCAACACAGCTCTTTTATTGAGGTGATTTGGGACCTCGCTGGAAAGCCAAAGTTCACCTTTTCAAGAATAAACACCACGCAAGAGCATTAATCCATTTCTACCACCTGCACTTAACAAGTCTTCATCATTCCAAGAACATTTCTAGCCTTTCACAGCTGTGGATAGATTTGACTTCTCCTAATAAGGTGGATTACTTAGGTTAGTGAGTAAAGATAAGCAATATCTCATCTCCAGTCCAGATTTGCAGTTGTAGAAACTCGAATTAGCTCTTTCAGTCCAGCTTTGCTTCTCTTCCCATCTTTGCTCAAACTCTGCTCCAGGACAGAGTGACCAAAGGATTAAGATTTACTTCTGGATAGCAAGTTCCTCACTGCTGATTTCCGAATCTCATGCTCATTGCAGACCCAATTCAGATTCAAAGAGCCCCCCTTAAAATCACTACCACCTCCTCCCTGGGACAAAGCCACAGTTTTTGCTAAGCATTTTAGCCACTGAAGATGTATGGCTTCTGTTCCCAGACTAATGGATGATCCCCATCAGAGCACTAAGGTTTGAGGTTGAGCGACCTGGACCTCACTGCCTTATAAAAGAACAAACGGGGACATTGCTGCACTAGTTCTAATGCCTGGCTAAAGGCTCTGAGAAACGGGCTTTTTGGTACTATACTGATATGGAAAAAAAATCAGGAAAAAAAAAAAAAGAGTAATACAAAATGCAGAAAAAAGATTACAGGACATGGACTGTCAAAAATCTACAGTGCATTATAGACAAGAACTCATAAGAATCAAAACATTATAGAAACAGAAAAACATCCTATTGCAGTACTTAAAGCCAGGCATGATGAGATAAAGTGGCAATAACAGAGGCTTGCAAAAGCAAAACTCTTACATTCAGAAAATTAAGTACTATGATAAGATCCTACAGGGATGTACAGCATCTCACATACAAAGAATTCACTAAAAAATACAACTCATGGATAAAATAGCATCAGTGATTCTGTTAACATTTACACAGTATCATCTGTGATCCTAATAACGTTGCATGGCAGAATGACAGGAAGATGAGCAATTAGTTGATTTTGAAGGAAAAAGTCTGAAAAGTAAAAAGAAAGAAATCTGGGGAAATTCAAGAAAGGAGTGAAACGCAGAATGAAAGTCTATAGGTGAAACGATTAAAACTTGTTGACTGAAATTCAGGGTGCTTCCCACACAGTGACTGGCTAGTGGCCCACATTAAAGTGTTTTGTGACTGCTATGCAGCCCCAGTGGAACAGGGCTCACACTCACTCAGCACTCTGGAGTCTCGTAAGAGACAAAAGCTCAACCAAGGAGCTGTCTCTAACCCTCTGAGGTGCCAAGAAGGAAGACAGTGATGTTGGGATGCGTGAGGGAAGCAATCAATGATTCTTCTTATTGTAAAAAACAAAGATAAAAAAGCTACTGAAATCTTCATATGGCAAATAGCTTAAGGTGTGAATACTGTTTTGTGGCCACTGGCCTGAGTGAAGAACCCTAAGCTTGGTTGAATTAGTCTAATACATCAGAAATCATGTTGCTTGTTTAAAGATAAGCATTTCCAACTGCGTAACATCTAATGAATTTCACCTATAAAAGCTCCAGGGAAGGATTCTGTCTCCAGCCATCCTGGTATTAACGTAAGAACTAACTATTTATCATCTGCAAATATTTTTTTTTTATGGAGAAAGATCACTCAGTGCATACAGGGTTGGAGTTATCTAGCTATTCTGAGGTAGTAGCATGGTACTTAAACCATTTAGATGTGTGTACCTAGGAAAGAAATTAAATTCCTGGATAGATCTCAGCTAAGCAAAGACCTAATGACCCTGTACTGTGCTGACTTCCAACACAAAGTCAGCTGCCTCCTTGAAATTACAGTACTCAGCAGCAATCGTCACTGAGACTCCCCGAGCCTTTTCTTGGCCAAGTCCACATATTCCTTAAACCCTTTAAACAGATGTGAAAAGACTGGATTTGCCAAAGGGGAGCGTATATTTTCTTTTTCACTGTGATCTACAATTGTTTTTTGGCTGACAATCCTGATTTATTTGCTTTGCCCGCAAAGTTTAACACAGCAGAAGCAAAGGAGGAAAGATGGCAGTTGGATGCTCTCATTTACCACCTACCCAAAGTAGGGTAAAGCTGTGCAAAAGGAGAAGGAAAACCAAGGACAGACATTCACAGTGATTATCTCACTCTGACATGTTACCGGGAGCATGCAAAACTGAGCCTTGCCTTGTTATACCTCCTGGCCAAAAGCATCAAATGAATTTGTCATTTTGAACTCCTACATCTAAACTATTACAGGTATAGTCAACTATCAAGGCAGATTATCAGTCCCACACCCTATACGATTGGTATTTATTCTGAAAGGTCCCTTAGTGCCAACCAAGGACTGCTGAGCCCCTACCTGAGGGGCTGCCTGCCTCTGGGGGCTCCTCCTCCTCCTCTCCTTTAATTAGGAGATTATAAGAAAAAATAAAACCCCATAGAATTAAACAAGTGTCACAACTCCCGTTCTCACATTCACAGAAACAAAAGGCATGTTTCAGTCAATGGCCTGAAAATTTCCTCTTACCATGTGTGGCATTTGCTAACTGGCAAAAGTATCATAGCTAAGAAGTATTGCACATGCTTAACTTCCAAACACCAGAGCAGCCACCATTGCTTTGTTACTCCACTAAGACCATCAGTCTTTTGCTTGAAAAGCAAGATTAAAAGCTAGTGGTCACACATATTTACTTATTTCTAAGTACTTTTGTAAAAGACATCATTGCATATTACTGTTTTCACTCCCAACCAACCAGCACATTCCTCATTCCTAACTTCTACAGATATGAAAACCAAGTACACACAAATTTTACAGCTTCACTGAATTCTTATGTGTGGATCAGAACACACTTATTTAATTTTCATTCCACTGATACATTCTCAGGTATATTACTCAGATTTCTCTCTATTCGCAAACATAGCTTACATTAATTATGCATTTCCAACAACATTGACCACTCAACCCACACAAGTTTTCGCACTTGTCATGTAATAGCAATTTCAACTTCTATTCTTATCAGGGCTAGAAAGAAAAGGACCTAGGAAACATGCCCTGGCCTGTATGAGCAGAATAGAACACACCTGACACACTGGAGGTACCAGTGGCTGGAAAAACATCTTGTGAGCCAGCAATAGGCGCCTCACAGCCCAGAAAGCCAGCCGTGCCCCGGGCTGCATCCAGAGCAGGGGGGGCAGCAGGGCCAGGGAGGGG